CCCGTCCGCAGGTCCCGTGCGGCCGCCGTACCTGACGACGTCGACGACTGGCTGGTGGCGTCGAAGCCGCTGTCGCGCTGGGGCGCGGCGCGGCCGCGCGGCTGGGCGGCGGCGGCTGGCGGCGGCGGCGACTCGCGGTCCTCCGGCTCGGCGGCCGGCGCCGCGCCCGGGATCAGCTCGTCTGCCAACGGCCGGGCCCACACCGGTCAGCCGCGCGCGCGCCCCGTCACAGCGCCATCAGGCACGCATCACGCATACATGTGCCAGCGCGCATCAAGCGCGGCCACCCGGTGAACACAGGACGCCATACCATAGCAGGCGAGGCGAACTCATGGCACGCCTTCACCCACCAACGTCGCTCTGGCACGGCTTCCGTGATCTTCAACCCCTCCCTGCCGGCCCCACTCTCTCCCTGCCAGCACGCGTACCCCTCCCGAGACCCGCCCTTCTGTACTCCACCATGACCAGCTTCTCCCCGAGCCAACCGCCGCTGACCGACTCTTACCTCTCTTGCGCTGTCTCTCACACTCCTCCCCCCAGACAATATTCGTGCTCGAAACCCCCGCCCATCCTCGTCCTCGTCTCTGACCGCAACAGCCCCCCCCCCCCCCCCCCCCCAGTCCTCGCCATCGGCCAGCCAGCTCACCCTCGTCGCCGCTCTCGTCCTCGTCCTTCGCCTGACGCGTCTGCGACTGGCGCTTCTTCTTCTTCTTGTCGCGCTTCTTGGCGGCCAGACACTGGCGCTGCTTTTGGATGGCGTCCTCCTGCGCCAGCTCCTCCAGCAGCGAGGTGGCGTTGCGGTTGGCCTCTGCCGCCTGCCGCTCCTTCGCCACGCGGATTATGTCCACGCACGCCTGGCACTTCTTGGCCAGCTCCTGTGATGGCACAGGGCACACGCTGTCACCACATCAAACGCATGGCTCTTGGCGAGGCATGGGGGAGGGGGGCCTCGCACACGCCAGGCACACGATCGTCGTGGCGGCGGGGAGTGGGGGGGGGGGGGAGGGGGGGGGGCGTTAAAAGGGTCCGACACGGACGGAGGAGAACAGGAAACCCACCCATAACTGCGCCCTTTTTAATATCTTCTAGATACAGCGGGAGGAGTTTCGCAAGCGTGATGCCCGCTATGAGGCCTCTTCGCCGAGTGCAACACGTCCCCAACGAACCAAACCAAATAACAAATACTGAACGACCTCGCAACTACGCACTTCAACAGTTGCATCATTTTCCAACTTGACCATCTATCTGCACGGCCGACGCGCCGCTCCTCGAGCTCGCCCGCTCACAGGCTTCCGAGATGGCCGGCCAGCCGGTGCCGGCAGCGAGACAGCGGCGTCCACTTATCACCTTGTCGCTGACCATCTGGAGAAGCGCGTCAGCTCGTGGTCCGACGGGAACGGGGAGACGTGCTTCACCATCCACTTGACCACCTTGATATGGCCGCGCCTGTACGCGGCCATCAGGCAGGAACACCTGGCGGCAGCGGCGGCGGCGGCGTGAAGGTCGGACCTACGATCTTAGTGACAGTTTCTCTCCGACATGAGTAACATCTTCTACAGTTCCTCTCCGACATGAGTAACATCTTCTACAGTTCCTCTCCGACATGAACAACATCTTCATTCACCGTAGTTAGGGCGATGAACAAAAACAAACGGCAGCGCTCGGCATCAGTTCGACATGGAACAGTATGCTTTTCATGTGTATCTTCTTCGTTAATTAAGAATGCCCCACCCCCCCCCCCACTTCCGATGGACCCACGAGTCGTTCGCAAAATATGTCTGGTGCGTAAAGAAGCCTGACCGGGGGTGGCCTAGTCAGCGTTCGAAGGGTGCCGCGTCTCGCGGCCAGGCTGGTGAGTGGGGTCCGCCGCGGCGGGCACGTCTCTCTGGCTGAGGAAACACTCGTCTAGCGTAGCTGATCTCGCTGATCGCGCGCACCACCGGGACTTCCTGAAGGTGTACAGGGCGCTGCACGTTCCCCCAACCCTCCAGCGTTTTGCGTGCTCCGTTCGTGACGCGTGTGCTCCATTCATGACGCGCGCCGAGACCTGCCACCGTTTAAGGTCGGGCTGTTTAGAGCGGTGTCGGCTCGCTACATCTGCCGCTCGTCCGACTGACCCCCACCCAGCCGCATTTTCCCTGCCAAGCTCTCGCCGCCTGGAACCTGCTGACGCGGCGGTAGTCCTCGCCACTCCCCCCCCCCCCCCCCCACGCCGGGATCGTGACCGTTTTAAATCGCCGATTCATTGACTGGAAACTGTTTCGTTTATGCGTGTATCTGGATCTCTCCCCGTGTGGCTGTTATTTCTCTTGCACTCATCAGCGCAGAACCACCACCACGTGGATGCGCCTCCCAATAAATACATATCAATGTAAAAACTGTAGGTCATGTTGATAACGACTCGTCTTGGGGGAGGGGTAACAATGCCGACGACGAGGGGCTAGCGACTTTCGCGCCCAGGCGGAGAGGCCCGGGGAGGGGGGGGGGGGGGTCCGAACCGGCGGGCCAATCGGATGCACCATCACCAGTCGCGACGCAACCCTGACCAGTGCTTCCCCTTCAGCACGCACGCCTGAACCCCGGAGCCGGCACACCACCGAGGGGCGACCCCGCCGCCCTCCAGTCGTCGGCCGCGGCGCCAGCGGGCCGCGCCACCCACCTTGCGGTTGTCCTGAGCGTCAATGTTGGCGCCGGCCGTGTACAGCAGTTGCACGACGTCCAGGTGGCCGCCGTTGGCCGCCAGCCACAGCGGCGTGTTGCCCTTCTTGTTGCGCACCTCCGCCTGCGCCCCCCTGCACGGCACGGCAGCGGCGGGGGAGCCGGTCAGGAGCGGCGCTCATGTCAAGGGTCGGGTCGCGGGCCACGGGTCACGGGTCACAGGTCACGGGTCGGAGCCCCACCGTCGGTTGAGTGGCGCACAGCCCGGGCCACCAGCCGGGCGGAGCAACACCGCGCACAATACACCGGCTCCGCTCGGCGGCCGGCCGGGGATACTGGCATACCACTGACGGCGTCACCTCACGCCTGGCGGGGGCACCGAGCCGCGACAGCCCGCTCCCGCCACAGAGCAGCTGGCCGAACGCCATGCACCGATGAGCGGCACCTCTCGCGAGGCCATCCGACCCCCGACCACTCGGCCGCCCCGGCCACAGGCACACCGCTCGCGCCCCTCCCGCTCGCGCGCCGACAGACTCACCGCGTGACGAGCAGCTCGACGAACTTGTAGTGTCCCTTGTCGGCGGCGATCGTGAGCGCTGTGTCGCGGCTGCTGGGCACCGGCGCCGCGTTCACGTCGGCGTACTTGTCCAGTAGGACGCGGCCCACCTCCACGTAGCCGCCGCTCGCCGCCTCCATCAGCGGCGTGAGGCCGGTCTGCGGCGACGGCCGGTCAGTGCCGAGGCACCAGGGGATGACGGGCCGGCGCACGACGACAGGGCGGTTCGGGGACATGTGGACGTGGGGCTCGGGGCCGCCCGGACGTGGGACGTCTGAACGTGGGACGCTTGGACGTGGGACGGGACAGGCCGGCGGGGGGTGTTGCGGGCGGCGCCAGAGCGCCCCAACGAAGCGCTAGAAATCAGCTGGGGTAGGCGGCGGCGTCCGTGCACCGATCGTGCTTCCTCAGACATGAATACCAACGTCAATCATTTCCTGGCTGAATTATGCGCCCCTTGCTGCTGTGCGCCAATTAATAAGCACGAGCGCCGGGCAAGTGCCCATGTAGAGAAACGGTCCTGCGCGCCGCGTCCACCGTCTTCCATTTAAACCAAACACGGCACGGCGAAGCCCGTCGACACAGCAGCCCGTGGTCAGCCGATCCGCGCCGCGCTCTCTCGCCACCAAGCAGTTCACGCGGACCCTCCGCGCTCACTTCCGAGCGCCAGCGCTCCTGTGCGCCGCACGCCGCCCAGCCCGTGATCACGTGTCCCCTTCACCGCACCCCCCGCCCCTCCCCCTCCAGGGCGGACGTTACCTTGGCGCGGTGCTCGACGTAGGCGCGCCGGTCCACCAGCAGCTGCACCACCTCGTGCCGGCCTTGGAAGCAGGCCAGCGTCAGCGCCGTGTTGCGGTTCGTCTCGATCTGGGCGTTGATGTCGCTGCCCATCTCCAGCAGCAGCCTGTGGCCAGGGCGACGGCCGTCGCGTCAGAGCGCCGCTCGGCCGGCGCGTCCTGGCCGCTCGGACGCCGGGCGCGGCTGGAGCCGGCCGCATGCGAGGGACGCCCGGGCGTGCTGGACACTGGGCTCCGTGAGTCGCAAACTCACCGTTCACCACGCCCGGTCGGCACTCGTCCAAATCCAGTCAACACATCATGCCGCGTAGAGCTCTTGGCAGCAGAAATAATGCGCGTACAAGTGATGACCGTACAAGTTTTTTGCGGTGGAAGTAATGACGTAATCACAGCATCGGATTCTTGCAGTAGCACACGGAACGGGTATAAGCATTTGTAGCACAAGTGTTGTCTAATGCCGCGTACAGGTACTGGCAGCAGGGATCAAGCCGCAGCAGTCTATGGTCGGCTGGAGTTAAAACAGCCGCACCGGTGCGGCGGAGCCGGCCGGCCGAGTCGGCAGCGCCTGCTCACTTGACAGCCGCCGTATGCCCGTTCATGGCAGCCAGCATGAGCGGCGAGATGCCCAGCTTGCTGCCCGTCCTGCTGTTAATCTCGGCGCCATTCTGCAGCAGCAGCTTGATGATGTTGACGTAGCCGCCGGAGGCCGCCAGCGACAGCGGCGTGTAGTCGGACACGTTGCGGTGCTCCTTGTTGCCGCCGCTGCCGGACGGACCGGACGGCAGGCGGTGAGACACCGCATCGGCGCACACACTAGCATCACATACCGGCTAGCGCCGTCACAGCACGAACACTCAAACACAGGAGCACAAGCGCTCGGTCACGCGTATCAATCTACATCTCTGGCTGTGCATGGCGGACACACGCGGAGAGAGGCCGGCACTGGACCGGCCACGCCTCTCCCGGCTTTTTACCAGCAGGTGTGCACTGTCCACCCACCGGCCGCGCTCGCCCCGTCCCCGCCCGAACTCTGTCAGCGTCTCCCGGAGCCTCGTGCCTCTCCTCCCGCCCCGCCCCGACACCTCCCACGCCCGCTGTCCGCCCTCCGGTCCAGGACCAGAGAGCTCACTCACTGCCTAAGCAGGATATCGACCACCTCGTAGCGCCCGCCGGAGCAGGCGAGCGAGAGCGGCGTGTCCTTGGTGCGCTCCGACTGCGCCTCGATGTCGGCCTTGTTGGCCAGAAGGATCTCCACCACGCCCGCGTGGCCGGCCGTCGCCGCCAGGATCAGCGGCGTGAAGCCCTTCTTGTCGCGGTGCTCTGCCGGCGTCGGAGCGCCGCGTCAGGCGCCGGTGCCCGCCGCACCAATCCACACACTGCGCGCCGATTCACCGGCCGGGCTCGGGCCGCCCCCAACGCACCGCCAGGCGACGCCCGACGCGCCGTCGCCGGCGCCATTCATCAGCGCTGGCGCTGACGAGATCAAACGAACAACCGGCCTACCGGCACTCCGCCGCACGACACAACAGAATACTCGCGGAGGTGAAACACAACGCATATATATATATATATATATATATATATATATATATATATATATATAGCACTCCTCTGCATGGCACATACAGCAAAAGTCGCGCTAGCGATACATTACAAATCAATACAAAGAGCCTGCCAGCGCCAGAGCGGAGGCGCTCCAGCCGAGGCCGGCGAGAGCGCGCGGCCGCGCGCCGCCGTACCGATGTGGGCGCCGCGTTTGAGCAGCAGCTGCACGAGCTCCTCGTGTCCGCCGGCGCAGGCCAGCGTCAGCGCCGTGTCGTGGTTGCTCTCCGTCTCCGAGTTGAGCTGGTCGGCCGTGGCTTGGCCCGGGTACGGCGCGCCGCCCACCGCCGACACCGGCACGCCGCCTGCCGGGCCGACAGGGCGCCAGCGTCACCGTCGACATCAGGTTACGTCAGGTCACATCAGGTCACACCGCAGCGACGCTTCGCCGACAGGGGCGGCCCTCCGCGCCGTGCACACACCACAGAGTCGCCTCCTCTCCCCTCCCTCGTGCAGGTGCCCGACGTAACCGGTCAGACGCGGGCAGCGCGCTCCCACGCGGGGCGCGGCAGCACCGGGCACGCGCGTGTCCGCGTCACGACCCCCGGCCAGTGCGGTGCGGCCGTCACGGCGCGTCCCGTCCGTCCAATGGTGCCCGGCTGAGGGCGGCCGCTCACCGGCCGGGGTTCGGGTCGCACCGACAGTTCGCAACACGTTCGGTCCTCACGAAACCTCGCGCGAGGAAGCCAGCGGGCCGGCGGCGCTGGTCGGCAGTGACGGGCGGGTCGCGCCGGCCAGCGCCGCTGGTCGGCAGTGACGGGTCGCGCCGGCCAGCCTGCCGCTCCCCGGAGCCGGCGATGGGGGCGGGAACCGCGCGGCGGCAGGGAAGGGATGGCGCAGAGCTGCGGAGATCAGGGTGATTTGGGGGTGTAACGGCTAACATGTAGGGTAATTCAGCGACGAAATTTCTCCCCTCCTCTCGATCGAATTCCGAGCTAGGAGTGGGAGACGGGGGGGGGGGGGGGGGGGGCGAGTGGCAGCGACAGCTCGGCGACCGCGGGAGAAAATGGAAAGACAGCTGGAGAAGAGGCACGAGAGAAGAGGACCCGAAAATGCAAGGAGAGAGGCAACAGGAGACAGATCTAGAGGGGATGAGGACCGAGGGAGAGAGCGGAAGCAAAGGGCAGATGCATATTCAAGGTGAGGGGGCCAGCAAGATGACACGCACCAGGAGGCGGAGGGGGCCGCGGAGACTCCGACAAAGGACGGGCATGAGGCGGAGGAGACTCCGACAGCGGGCGGGTATGAGGCGGAGGAGACTCCGACAGGGGGCGGGATGAGACGGAAGAGACTCCGACAGCGGGCGGGTATGAGACGGAAGAGACTCCGACAGCGGGCGGGTATGAGACGGAAGAGACTCCGACAGCGGGCGGGTATGAGACGGAAGAGACTCCGACAGCGGGCGGGCATGAGGCGGAGGAGGCGCCGATAGCGGGCGGGCATGAGGCGGAGGAGGCGCCGATAGCGGGCGGCCGCGAGGCGCAGGGGAGTGCGGAGCGGGAGGGCGGGCAGGCTCACCGGGGTAGGCGGGCGCCGGCGGCTGCTGGCCGGCGGGCGCCGGCGCGCCGTACGCCAGGTTGAGCGGCGGCTGGCAGTTGTGCAGCCCGGTCAGGCCGTGCAGGGTGCCCAGCTGGTAGCCGCGGGACCAGTCCGCCGCTGGGGGACAGGCACAGGCACAGGCGGCCGCCGGTCAGCCGGCGCCGGCCGCCCACCCACCCACGCACCCGCGCCGCACCATCACACCACACGCTGTCAGGGCGCCGCCGCCGTCGCTTCGCCGGCACGCCGGCCGCCGGGCGAGTGCCGAACGCCACGGGGGCAGCGCCTCGCCCGCTCCGCCGGCGCGGCCCGCCAGCGCTGCGGGCCGCGCAGGCCCGCCACACCGCCGCGCGCCCCCCGCAGCGGCGCCTCCGCACACAGCCGGCAGCACACGGGCCGCGCAGGCCCGTCACACACCGCCGCGCGCCCCCGCAGCGGCGCCTCCGCACACAGCCGGCAGCACACGGGCCGCTGTTTCACTGCCGGCGCGGCGGCCGCACCACCCCGCCGCCGCCACGCTCCCCGTGCCCGGCACGTACCTTGTTCGGCGGTGAGCTCGGCTTGGTCGGTCGGGCCCGGCCGGTACAGCGTGTCGTTCAGAGTGCGCGCCGGCGCCGCCACCTGCCCAGTCGAGGTCCGCACGTCAGCGCGCAGCAGGGCGCGGCCAGGCCGGCATCTGCACCCGCCCACGCCATGAGACGGCGCGCCGACAAACGAGCAGCACAGCCCGCGCCGTCTCCATCCCGCAGAATGAGACACACCCATGTAATCTTATGGCTGTCACCCGGCTGGCGATGCCGTCTGGGCGCTGTGGAGGACGCCGACGCTAACCGAACTCGCCGTACAGAGCCCGCGGACACGAGCGGCGGCCAGTGCGCCGATGAGGACCACACACACGCGGCACCCCGCTGACAGACGGCACGCACACCGGACAGAGCGCAGCTGCCGCCTGGTGACGTCACTGGGGACTCGGCGCGCCTCCCCACCGGTGCTGTGGTCCTGACCTGAACACGCCTGGCCCGGCGGCCGGTGACGGGTCCTGACCCCCTCCCCGCCCCCACCCAGTGTGACAACCAGAGGACCTCTGACCGAATCCGTCCCAGGAGAACAGTCGGCCACCCCATGACATGCTAGCCTGTCCTGTCGCCGGCCCCGGCTCCAGTGCCGGCTCTGGCCCCGGCCCCGGCCCCGGCCCCGGCCCCGGCCCCGGCCCTGGCTCTGGCCCCGGTCCGGGCCCCGCAGACACGCACCATAAGGCCGGTGTTGGTCTGGATGTGGGCGGCCACGTCGTCGGCGGCTAGCGGCGGCCCGAAGGCGGCGGCGCCCGGCTCGGCCGACACCAGCAGGGCGTGCGGCTGTACCTGGCCACACACCGGGGCACGTCAGGCCACGTCAACAGCACACGCTAGTCCGGCTTAGCCGGGCCGGAGGAGCCCGCACACAAGCCGTCACACAGCGACACGGAGACGGCGCCAGGGAGACGGGGCGGGACCGGACGGAGCGTCAGCACGCTCTCCAGAGCTGACGTCACCACCGTCACAGGCGAGTGGGCTGCTCTCCGGACGCAGTACGTCCCGCTCTGGTTTGGTCCCCTCACAGCGATCCCCGCGACTGAGAACCTCCCGGTCGCCCCAAAAGTGTGGGTTTCTCCAGTCACGCGATGGATTCCATCACATGACCATACTGCCCCCGACTGATCCTGTGCCTGGCAATGTAATGCTCTCGAAGCGACGCGTCCACCCGCTGTCAGGTGACTGATGACACCTCCCTCCCCCTGCCTCAGAGGATCGGCCGTCGAGCCCTGACACCCAGACCGAGCGCAACTCCCACACTCCCGCGACCGTGACCTCTCCCCCTTCCCGCCGCTCTTCAGACCTGGGCCGCCGGCTGGCCGCGGTTGTTGGGCTTCTTCTTGACCTTCTTGTCGACGCCCGCGGCGGCGGCGGCGGCAGCAGCGGCGGCGGCGGCGGCAGCGGCGGCCGAGGCGGCGGCGGCCGGCGGCGCCAGCTCCAGCGGCAGCTGCTGGCCGGTCGCCAGGTCGAGCGGCAGCGCGCCGGCGCCGGGCGGCACCAGCTGGCCGGGCGGCGCCAGCTCCAGCGGCAGCGCGCCGGCCGCCAGCTGCGTCGGCGTCAGCTCCAGCGGCAGGCCGGCGGCGTTGGCCGCCAGCTGGCCGGGCGTCAGCTCCAGCGGCAGGCCGGCCACGTACTGGCCCTGCATCGCTGCGGCGGCGGCGGACGGCACACGGTCAGCGGCGGCGGGGGCACGGACTCGGACCCAGTCGCGGCCGGCGGCCGGCGACATGGGACCGCCAGAGGCGTGACGGCGGGGCCGGCCGGCGACGCCAGACTACACAGACGCCCCGCATACAGGCCATCGGCGCGCCACAGCTGGCGACACGTATCAGTGCAGCGACGTTGAATGAGCCGCGCTCTGCTCGGACGCTCACCCGTGCCTGCGCGGGGCAAATCCACAACGACGTCGGCCCACTTATCACGGCTGTGGTCTCCCTCAGTACAATCAAAGGCAGACGCATCCATACTGAGGTGTATGTACCACACATGTACGTCACACGCTGCTGTGAGTGTGCCGCCGGTGACCGCCGACCTCGCCCCGCAGCGCCTGCTGCGGCTGTAGCAGCGGCGCATACAAGTGGAAGCGTCTGCGTCTCCACCCACATGATCGTGATCTGCCGCGCCGGCGCTGTCCGGCCCGGCCTCGGCACTCTGTCCGCCCGCCCGCACGCGCGCGACTCACTGAGCTGGCTCTGAAGCAGCTGCAGCTGCTGCGGCTGCAGGCCGAGGTGGGCCTGGTAGGCGGCGGCCGCCTGCAGCTGCTGGTACTGCCGCTGGATGCCGCTGGGCGGCGCCACCTGCAGCCCTGCGCACACACCGGGTCCGGTTACCCGCCCCGGCACCTGCTGATCACACGCCGAGAGACGGGGCAACATCAAACGACGCCGCGCGGCCGCGCCCCTCGGCGCTCACAACGGCGAGAACGCTGACAGTGGGGATGATGATGATGATGATGACAAGACTCGTGAGATGAATATGATTGTTCAGGTGATGATGGCAAGACTCTAATTATGGCGCCGCGCGAATGACGCTGTGATGGCGATGGCCGGGAGGACCAGACATCGTGACAATGGAGAACACCAGGTCAATCCGCGGGCATCGGGCATGGCAAGGCGGACGTAGGGCAGGCCACTGGAACGCGCTCACGCACCGCGGACATGCGCCATCTGACGCAGAACAGACCCCCTCCCCCCCCCCCCCGCGGACAAACGACGGTGAGGTCCCACCACCACCTCTATCCTGCGTCGAGTTCCCCGCCCGGCCCAATATCGGGTCTTCAACGCAACGTCCGCCGACACGCCCCGAACGTACGCCAGGTATTAATGTCATGCGCCAGTGTTGCCACGGAGCCAGGGCGCCAGTCAGCTACCTTACGCCACTCACCGGCTCCCTGGTACCCCTCTCACGCAGCGCCTGACTTCCCGCAAAACACGCTGCCACGACCCGCCCGCCGTGTCCGTTACCACACGCCTGCGCAGCCTGCAGCTCACGCTGCAAGGGCCGCCACACTCCCGTCGATGTGCGCCTGAGGGACGCCTTACTGACACGTGCCGCCCAGAGACCACGCTCGGGCCGTCCGCCCGCCCCGTCTGACGTCACCGGCTGGGGCCAGTCCTACTGCCGGCCGCCGCCACCGAAGCCGTGTCAGTCGCGCACCCTTCCCATGAGTTCGTTCTCCTCCCATGGATCGTTGTTATGACTGCCGCAAGCCTCAGGTCAGCGCTGTCCCGTGCCCGCCGACCACCGGGGGCCCGCTCTCCCACTGGGACCACCCGTCCCTCCCGGCTCCGTACCCGGCCACCGTAAAGCTCCTTCAGCTCCAGCCCCCGACAACCGCCCGCCTCTGGACGCCCACGCAGCCCAGCTGCCGCTCCGCTTCGCAGTCACGGCCGGCCTGCTGCTCCTCTAGCACAGTGCACCACCAAGCCCATTTCCCCCTGTCACGGCCTGTGAAATCCTGGAGCCCGGTGCCGGCCGGCCCTTCCTACGGGGCGCGCGAGGCGTCGCCGCCGCCACCGTACCCTGCGTGTTGAGTCCGGTGAACCGGAGGCCGGCGGCCGTGCAGGCCACCTGGGCGGCCTCGGCGTCGGCGGCCGCGGCCGCAGCCGAGGCCGGGGCCGGCGGGCGGCCGCGGCACGGCGAGCAGCTGCCCTCGCGCCGCTTGACGCCCTGCGCGGCCGCCGACGCCGCTGCCGACGGCCGGTCCTTGGGCGGCGCCGCGGCCGCCGCCGCCGACGGCGACGGCTCGCCGGCCTGGCGCGACCGCTTGGCGCCTGCTGCCGGGCAAGGTATGGCGGTTATTCGCCGAAGCTCGGCCCAGGCGCCGGTTCGAATCTCGCGGCACGAAACTTTCGCTCAACCGGCTTGCACACCTTTCCAGCACGCCCATGGCCTCAGCGCTCAGTCAGTCACTACCTCAGCGATCTACAGCACGCCGAATGGCTCAGTGACGTCATCTACTCGACATATCCGACAAATCACTGCAGCGATGCTGTGACTGGCCGACCATGGGGCGGGGCTCCGCCGCCGTCCGGCCGGCGGCCGCGCCCGGAGCGTCTGCAGCGCCGCCGGCCGACCGCGCGTCAGAAGACCGGGCCGGAGCGGGCCGGCCAGGCACGTACCAGCCGTGTCCTCTTCGGAGGGCGGCGGTGGTGGCGGCGGCGGCGGAGGCGGCTCGTCCCGGCTGGGCGGCGGCGGCAGGTGCGGCGTGTGCAGCAGCTGGTGCTCCACCTGCGCGCCCCGTCACGGTCACGGTCACGGTCACGGTCACCGTCACCGTCAAGGTCACGGTCTCAAAGCATGCCGTCGCGGTCATTCTCGCCGCGCTGCGTCCCGTCAGGGTGTGTTTGGCTTTCGTCTTCCTAAATCGTCAAACATGGCGTCATAAGACGGGCGCACGGGCCAGGCGACCTGCGAATCGGTTCACTGCGGCGGACTAGGTCAGGGAGTAATGAAGCCGGTGCGGAGCACCCACGTGGCCGTCACGGACAAACGCAAAACAGAGTGGCGTGACTCGCAACGGCTATGGCACAACGCTGGCGGCGACGACGCGCCATTTTCCGCTACACGTCATTTCATCCATATTCCATCGCTCGCTTAACACGTCCCAAAGCCTCCCAGCTTCTTATGAACAGCCCCACTGATTTCTGGCATTGTATTCTGCATGCTATACCACCACAGGGGCGTGGGCAGGAGCCGCCGTCCAAGACCGACTGGCACGCACCTGCTGCTGGAACTGCTTGATCTGCTGCTGCAGCTGCTTGCGCTGCTGCAGCAGCTGGATCTGCTGGCGCTGGTGGAACTGCTGGCCGGCCGCCGAGCCGCCTGCCTTCGTCTCCAGCTGTCGGCGAGCGGGCCGGTCCGTCTCAGACACACGCCCCGATACGCTCGAGGCCCGCTTCAGACATCGTTAGGACGTGCCGCCGGCGAGACCCGACCTGCGCCCAGCCACGCCCATCGACGGCACACCGCTGCTCGACACCGGCCGAACGCTGGCCGCCCGCCTCCGAGCCGTCTCTGGCCGTCGCCGCCCGGCAGAACAGCGCCAGCACCGTCACCGTCACCGTCACCACAGTTGACGTGACCAATCTGCCACCTGGGCCGCCCCCGCACCCCGAGCGACGCGCGCCCGACCACTGACCTGCCGCTGCGCCATGACCGTCTGCTCCAGCTGCTGCAGGGCGGCCACGTTCTGCTGCAGCTCGGCCAGCTGCTGCTGGTTGGCCGCCAGCTGGGCGGCGCTGGTCAGCTGGTTGGCCGGCGGCGGCGCGGCCGGCGACGCCGCCTTGCCCGCCGGCGGCGCGCCCGCCTGCCGGAGCGGCACACGGCACGGCATTAGACGCGCGGCGGACCCCCGACAGCCCGACCACGGACGGGCCGGTGGCAACAGGCAGGCCGCGCACCAGCCACAGCAGCGCCACACACAGCCACAGGCGGGCGGCTCGACTTCCGAGCAGCGCCGCCGCCCGCACAGCTCTGCACGCGGTCCTGACCGTGCGCCAGACGTCAACCAGCGGGCCGACCGATCTCTGCGGCGGGGTCCGGCCGCGACGGCCTCTGACGGCGCCCACCCACCAGCCGGTCTAGAAAGCACGCGCCCCGAGGCGCACGCGTACCTGCCGCGGGGCCTTCTTCTGCTCCTTCTTGCTGACCGGCTTGGCCTTGGGTCTTTGGTCGGGCGGCGCCGGCGCCGCCGGCGACGGGTTGGACACGATCACCGACTCCCGGCTCTGCGGCGGACGCGCGGTGACGGCCGGTCAGCACCGAGCGCCGCGCCTGGCGACGGGACCGAGCGGGCGCGCGGCCGACGGCAGACGGCCGAGGGCGCCGACCGCAGCAGGGCGCGCGACGGACAGGACGCCGAGCGAACACCGGACGCGCACAGCAACAGCGGAGCGAAGGCTGACAGCTCGGAACGGAGTCAGAAGATAACGTCCTTCAGTAAAGCACTGGTGAAACAGCTCAAATAACATGCACTACTTGTCACAAATTCACCACATGGAGTCAGCACGCTGCTCAGGCGACCCGCCTCCCCACCGCTGGAGGCAGAGAGCGTGCCGGGCGCGCAGCCTGGGGGAGGGCCCCACTGTCCCCACAGAGCGGCGGCAGCGCGTGCACGCGATGCTCACCTGCGGCAGAGCGGCGGCTGAGAGAGCGGCGGCCGCCTCAGCCGGCGCGCCCGCCGCCTCCACCAGACCGGGCAGGCCCTGGAAGCGGCGCAAGTCCTCCGGCATGCGCGACGCCAGCGTCTTGGTCAAGTTCGTCAGCTTCTCGATCTCCTCGCCCTCCTGCCAGCGCGCGAGGACCGTCATCACAGGCGCTACGACCCGCAGCGGCGGCGCCAAACCACGACATCACGTCTAAAAGGTCCACAACCGTGATACACCGTGTCATGAGGACGTACCGCGCGCGATTTAGACACACCATCGCAACACAAGCCCAGCGTACGCGGAGACCATGGACGCATTCCTTCCAAGCAACTGCACCAACGGGCCCAGCCGATCTCCGTGGATGGAGGCCAGCAACGGAGTCCGATCCGCTCGTCCCGCAGCCGCAGCCGGGGCCGGGAACGGGAATGGGAACGGGAACGGGAACGGGAACGGGAACGGGAACGGGAACGGGGCCGGGGCCGGGGCCGGGGCCGGGGCCGGGGCCGGGAACAAGAACGGTAACGGGAACGGGAACGGAAACGGAAACGGGAACGAGAACGGGAACAGGGCCGGTGCCGGGAACAAGAACGGTAACGGGAACAGGAACGGGGCCGGGAACAAGAACGGTAAGGGGAACGGGAACGGGAACGGGAACGGGAACGGAGCCGGGGCCGGGGCCGGGGCCGGGGCCGGGGCCGGGGCCGCACCTGATCGCTGACGTCCGGCCGTCGGAGCATCTCGCTGAGGTACTGCTCGAGCCGGTCGGAGGTGGCGCGCCCCAGGCCGGCCTCGTCGCCGTCCAGCGCCAGCAGGCTCGACTCGAGCAGGTCGGCCGACGAGACGCAGCAGGCGGCCGGCGCGCCCAGCACCGGCGACGACGGCGTGTACGGCGGCGTCTCCATCTGGCGCCAGCGCCGCCCGGGGCACGTGTCAGCGAGCGGGTGGCCGGGGGCGGCGAGGGGACGCGGCGCCGGGAGCGGGGAGGGGAGGGCACACCAGCGCCGGGCAGAGTGGCACCGCCACTGCTCGCGCCACACCCGAGGCGTGGCAGTTGTCACTTGCGAGGTCCGAACGGTCGCATGGTTGGGACATGAAGGTCGGCGACAAAATGGATCTGCCGTCAGGACAGGCCGCACGGACTGAGACAGACCAGTTTCCGGGCAGAAGTCATGGACCCGGCAGCACGGGAGAACACCCCGGCCAAATGGAGTCTCGGCGGGCGGCTGACGGAGCAGGACACGGCCGCGGTGACGGGGAGGGCGCGACGCCGCTGGTCCAGGACACGGCTACAGCCAGGACACGGCCGCGGTGATGGGGAGGGCGCGACGCCGCTGGTCCAGGACACGGCTACAGCCAGGACACGGCCGCGGTGACGGGGAGGGCGCGACGCCGCTGGTCCAGGACACGGCTACAGCCAGGACACGGCCTCGGTGATGGGGAGGGCGCGACGCCGCTGGTCCAGGACACGGCTACAGCCAGGACACAGCCCCGGTAACGGTGAGGGCAAGGCGCCACTCGTCCAGAGCACGGCTCCAGCCAGGACACGGCCGGCGGCCGGCACGGCAGCCGACGCCAGCACACATCGGACCCGAACGGTGGACTCCGCCGTGCCCTTGCACATCGGAAGCCATTCCCGGGACATGACGTAACGGCGGCCAATGACTCACCCAATCCCTTCCTGAGGCACAGTACGAGGCTCACGGCCTCGTCAACAATCAACAGCGGCCAGAAAAGCAGAGCAGCGCACTGAGACAGCTCCCGCCCATCTCCGCACCTGCCCGCCTGAGAACCCCGCCCGTCGCCCGGCCCGCCTCACGGGGTGGGCGACGAGCCCCCAGCGCCGTCCTACCGTGTAGATGTCGGCGTCGGCGTCGGCGGGCCCGGCCGAGCGCGAGCGTCGCCGCTGGCAGGCCGGCTTGGCGGCCGCGCCGGCCGGCTGCTCGGTGCCAGTGCCGGCGCCGGCGCTGGCACCGGCGCCGGCACCGGCCGGCGGCGGCAACAGGTCCAACGCCACGGCCGCGCCGTCCCCTGCCGGGTCAGAGCCAGGTCAGCGGGAGGGTCGCCGGCCGGTGCGGCCCCAGGACGCCGCCCGCGCTCACTTCACCATACAGATGGGACAAGGGTTGGCGTAACGGGCTTACCCACACTCAAGGTTGCAATCACACTCAAGACTTCCGAGCAACCCGCTCTAGCACGTGCATGGAAAAGTGTTGGAAAACACCCCGGCTAGCCGCGACGCCGCAACTGACCCAGCCGGTCTGTTTACACTCCGAGTCACGAACAGTCACGCCCGAGACGCCGAGTACGGCGGCCCGTGACCCTCACCTGGGTAAGGAGCAGCAGCGGCAGCAGCGGCGGCAGCGGCGGCGGCGGCCGCCGCCGAGCCGGGCAGCGCCAGCTCGGCCGGCGCCGTGGCGGCGGCCAGGCGTGCCACCGTCTCGGCCTCGGCCGACTCGAACGCGCCCGCCATCTGCCGCAAGTCAAGTCAAGTCAAGTCAAGTCAGCCGCGAACTCCGCACAGCTTGGGGCGGCCGGAAGAGAATGGTACCTTTTTTTATAAATTTATCCGAATTGTTGGCACGGGTGACTTCGGGTTCAGAGTACCTGCTAAGCATAGCTTGTAGCGTGCACCCCGAACCCACCACCCAAGTCATGCCGTCCAGTTCAACGGATAATTTTGCCTCCGCCCTCTTGCCAGACAGGAACGCGGAGGGTTTTACGTGCCGCACATTGCGGCGGCACGGCCTCCCCGGGTCTGGGTTGATCCTCGTTGGCCAGCTGCCGGCTGACCTTTCCATTTCAGTCTGATCAAATGACATAGCATATAGCGTAGCAATGATATGATAAGACATAGCACAGCATACACGTGACATAGCATAAGATCATGAAGTGACATATGGGTCATGGGCTCCGCTCATACGTGTACAGATGGCGCCCGAGACTGGCAAAACACACAAAGAACGGCAGGCCAGCCCTTCCAACCACGCGGCCTGCCACGCCAGGGCGAGAGATCTCTGCTTCGAACACCACGGAGCCACTGCCACGCTTCAGCGACAGCCCACCGAGATCGAGCGCGCAGGGGACGCCTCCCCGCGCTCTCCAGCTGGCTGGCCGCGGCCCTGCCTCCCCGTACTGCCCGGGCGGCTGCCGTCAGCCTCCCCGCGCTCTCCAGCTGGCTGGCCGCGGCCCTGCCTCCCCCGTACTGCCCGGGCGGCTGCTGTCAGCCTCCCCGCGCTCTCCAGCTGGCTGGCCGCGGCCCTGCCTCCCCGTACTGCCCGGGTGGCTGCCGTCAGCCTCCCCGCGCTCTCCAGCTGGCTGGCCGCGGCCCTGCCTCCCCCGTACTGCCCGGGCGGCTGCCGTCAGCCTCCCCGCGCTCTCCAGCTGGCTGGCCGCGGCCCTGCCTCCCCGTACTGCCCGGGTGGCTGCCGTCAGCCTCCCCGCGCTCTCCAGCTGGCTGGCCGCGGCCCTGCCTCCCCCGTACTGCCCGGGCGGCTGCCGTCAGCCTCCCCGCGCTCTCCAGCTGGCTGGCCGCGGCCCTGCCTCCCCGTACTGCCCGGGTGGCTGCCGTCAGCCTCCCCGCGCTCTCCAGCTGGCTGGCCGCGGCCCTGCCTCCCCCGTACTGCCCGGGCGGCTGCCGTCAGCCTCCCCGCGCTCTCCAGCTGGCTGGCCGCGGCCCTGCCTCCCCGTACTGCCCGGGTGGCTGCCGTCAGCCTCCCCGCGCTCTCCAGCTGGCTGGCCGCGGCCCTGCCTCCCCCGTACTGCCCGGGCGGCTGCCGTCAGCCTCCCCGCGCTCTCCAGCTGGCTGGCCGCGGCCCTGCCTCCCCGTACTGCCCGGGCGGCTGCCGTCAGCCTCCCCGCGCTCTCCAGCTGGCTGGCCGCGGCCCTGCCTCCCCGTACTGCCCGGGCGGCTGCCGTCAGCCTCCCCGCGCTCTCCAGCTGGCTGGCCGCGGCCCCTCCTCCCCCGTACTGCCCGGGCGGCTGCCGTCAGCCTCCCCGCGCTCTCCAGCTGGCTGGCCGCGGCCCCACCTCCCCCGTACTGCCCGGGCGGCTGCCGTCAGCCTCCCCGCGCTCTCCAGCTGGCTGGCCGCGGCCCTGCCTCCCCCATACTGCCCGGGCGGCTGCCGTCAGCCTCCCCGCGCTCTCCAGCTGGCTGGCCGCGGCCCCACCTCCCCCGTACTGCCCGGGCGGCTGCCGTCAGCCTCCCCGCGCTCTCCAGCTGGCTGGCCGCGGCCCCACCTCCCCCGTACTGCCCGGGCGGCTGCCGTCAGCCTCCCCGCGCTCTCCAGCTGGCTGGCCGCGGCCCTGCCTCCCCGTACTGCCCGGGCGGATGCCGTCAGCCTCCCCGCGCTCTCCAGCTGGCTGGCCGCGGCCCTGCCTCCCCGTACTGCCCGGGCGGCTGCCGTCAGCCTCACCGCGCTCTCCAGCTGGCTGGCCGCGGCCCTGCCTCCCCGTACTGCCCGGGCGGCTGCCGTCAGCCTCACCGCGCTCTCCAGCTGGCTGGCCGCGGCCCCACCTCCCCCGTACTGCCCGGGCGGCTGCCGTCAGCCTCCCCGCGCTCTCCAGCTGGCTGGCCGCGGTCCTGCCTCCCCCATACTGCCCGGGTGGCCGCCGTCAGCCTCCCCGCGCTCTCCAGCTGGCTGGCCGCGGTCCTGCCTCCCCCGTACTGCCCGGGCGGCTGCCGTCAGCCTCCCCGGCGCCGGCCTGGCCCGGACGCGCGCCACCTCACCTGCGCCTCCGTCAGCGGCTGGATGTCCGGGTAGTCCATCAGCAGCTCCACCACCTGCGTGTGGCCGTTCTTGGCGGCCTCCATCAGCATGGTGGAGTTGTCCTGGCGGGACGGCGGCCGCGGCACACAGTTAGCCCCGCGCGCCTCACTCCCGGGTCAAGGTCACGGTCAAGGTCACGGCGTCCGTCAGGCCACAGCAGCGGCGGCGTGACCTGGACGGGCGGGTCTCACGCGGTCGTCAATGCCGAGCCCGCACGCCAAACCGCGGCACCGGCGGCACGCCTGACGCCGTACACGACAGCCTGCAGCGGCCCTACAGTCGCGCGAGTTCACAGGCCCGACGGCCAAACCCCCGGACATCAGTACACCGACAGCGCCTGCCGAGGCGCCCACATCCGACGTCCAACAGCGCCGCACGCGCCCCCGGACCCGCCAGCTCCGTCTGCCGCCCCCCGCCCTCCGCCCAGCGCCGGCGCGCCCCGGCCGGACCCACCTTGAGTATGTGGTGCGGGTTGGCGCCGTGCTGCAGCAGCACCTTGACCACGTGCAGGTGGCCGCCGTGGCAGGCCAGGCTGAGCGCCGTGTGGTCGTTGTTGGCCGTGGTGCGGTTGACATCGGCCAGCCGGCTCAGCAGGAAGGTGACCGTGCAGAGGTGGCCGGCGCGCGACGCCTTCATCAGCGCCGTCCGGCCGCCCTCCGCCGCGTGCTCCTGGCGACAGGCGGCGCGCGGGTCAGCGCGGCGCCACGGTGCCGGCCACCGGCGCCACCGCCGGCCGCAGGGGCCTCGGGACGCCCGCGCCGCCGGCGCAGCACACGGACCCCGGAGCGGCCGCCGAGCAGGCGGCGCGGCTGCCTGTGACCGTGTTCGGTGTCCCGCGCCCGTCAACAACCGGAGGTGGAGGAGACGACCATCCAACCTGTCTTCAGTGGGGCCTTCGGTGATTGCACGGTGTAAACAACGCCACAAGCATACAGCTGCCGGCCCGTAACGCCACCCACAACATGACCGCCAGCCGCCAGCTGCCGACAGACCAGGTCAGCTGTTCTGACAGATGGGCGGCCGTGCGGTCCCGACTGCCTGCCAGCCGGCCGGCCGGCCGGCGGCGACACGCGAGAGCGACCGCTGGGCCTGCGCCGGTGGAGGACGGCCGGCAGCAGCCGGGGTCACAGCGCAGCACAGACCAGCCACAGGCAGAGGCACGCACGGCAACACACCGCCGACCAACGCGCCATCGGTGCACAGACAGGAGCACAGGAACAGCCCGACGACCGAGCGGAGACCCGACAGGAGGTGCGGCGCCGACGGCGGCCGCTCGGTACTGACCAGGGCGGCGCCCCGCTCCAGCAGCACCTCGGCCACGGCCGTGTGGCCGTTCTCGCAGGCGTACGTCAGCGCCGTGTCGCCGCCCGTCTGCGTCACCGCGTTCACGTTGGCACCCCGCTCCATCAGATACCTGGCCGAGACAGCGACGGCGGCGTCAGGCGCTGCCGCTTCACATCGGGGCGTCACAGAAGCACGAGGCACCGTCACCGAGCTCCCCGGCGTTATCACGCCCGTCAGCGCCAGCGACGTCACGTCACGGAAGCACGAGGCACCGTCACCGAGCTCCCCGGCGTTATCACGCCCGTCAGCGCCAGCGACGTCACGTCACGGAAGCACGAGGCGCCGTCACCGAGCTCCCCGGCGTTATCACGCCCGTCAGCGGCAGCGACGTCACGTCACAGCAGGCATCCAGTCAGCATCACTGACCACTGACCGCCGTATACGGCGAGCCACGTGAGGCGTGCCCCCCCCCCCCCCCCCCAAACCACAGCAGACCGGGTAACTTCGGCGGCGCTCTGACAATGACAGAACCACGGGCACGGCTCGCACGTGGGAGGGCGACTGATAACGCAGTGAATGTTGTCAAATGAACACCAGAGTGAAGCAATGAATGAATGAATGGATGGATGAATCGAGGAATCAATGTATGGATGGCTGATTGCATGAGTGTCGAATAGATCAATTTCAGAGTGAATGAATGAATGAATGAATGAATGAATGAATGAATGAAAGTTCGGCGGAGTACGTCCCGGCTGTCCCGGAGTCGTCTCTGCGTCTGGGCTGTCAGTGCGCGCGTGATGACCAGCCGGCCGGTGCCGTGGCCAGGGGCCGGCCACTCACTTGACGAGCTCGAGGTGGCCCTCCTGGGCGGCCTCCATCAGCGGCGTGCTCGCACCCAGCTCCACGTCGGCCCCCGCCTGCCGGACAGCGGCACACAGCGGCGGTTAGCAGGGTCAGCGGGGTCAGCGGCCCTCCAGCGGCGGTCACCACACGGAACGGTACTGTCGGGGAGACACTGCCGTCCGCCGAGGCGCCTCTCCAAGACCGGCGGGGTGACCGGCCGTGCACGCGTGCACTAATTACAGCTTCAAATTGACCGAAAACGCCACACAGCAGACAAGGCGCCCCACAAACAGCTGACCGCCACGGACAGGAACACAGACGATATGCCAACGCTCCGCATCAACGTAGCACAGAGCAGTTCGGCAAACTCTCAACCCAAAACCGGCCGGGACGAACAGTGCACCCGGCCAGCCCTGACCAGTGAGGCAGACATCAGCAGACGGGGCCCCGGATCCCGCCCGTCCCCCAGCACACCCGGCCAGCCCTGACCGGCGGAGCAGACCTCAGCAGACGGGGCCCCGGATCCCGCCCGTCCCCCAGCACACCCGGCCAGCCCTGACCGGCGGCGCAGACCTCGGCAGACGGGGCCCCGGATCCCGCCCGTCCCCCAGGCTCACCTGGATGAGGAAGTCGGCCACCTCGACGAATCCACCGCAGCAGGCGAGCGTCAGCGCCGTCTCCTGCGTCTCCTCCGTGATGGCGTTGATGTTGGCCTCCTGCGAGAGCAGCAGCGCCACCATCTCCTCGTGGCCCTCCCTGTCGGGTGGCCAGCGGCCGTCAGGCGGTGCGGGGGCGGCAGACAATCATCCGGGCGGAGGCGGGGGACAGCCACCGGCGCCGCCGCGCCATGATCGCGCCGGCGCCGACAGGCCCGCTCAGAGGCAAGGCAAACCAGCATTAATCAACACAGTCCGTCGACCTGGAAGTGCTGGGCACCACGACAGGCGAAACGCTCAGAGCAGACGCGTCGGCAGGCACGCTCACTACCGCACAAAAAGCAGCAGCGGAGCAAGCCAGCGTATCACCGACCGCATAATCGCCCGAACGACGGAGACGTGGTCAGACCTTGCCCCGTCCGCAAATCCCCGCAGGCGCCACCACTGACCACCACCACAGACTGCTCGAGCACCGTCCGGGCGGCGCCACTATCCTGTCCCACGCCGCCCAGCGGCGCGGTCACCCCGACACCCCGCCCGGCCCCGACCGGCCTCTCACCTGGCGGCCTCCATCAGCGGCGTGTAGCCCTCGTCGTTGACCTCCTCGATGTTGGCGCCGCGGTCCAGCAGCAGCAGCGCCAGCTCCACGTGGCCGCCGCAGGCCGCCAGCGTCAGCGGCGACTCGAAGCTGTCGGCCGGCATGTTCACCTGAGGGAGGCGGGAGGCGGGCGACGGTCAGAGCCGCGCCGCGACAGAGCGCGTTAGGGGCTGGCGCCGCGGGCTGAAGGGCCGCAGCGGACGCCCCGCGGACAGACGTCACATCTGGCGCCACCTGTCGATGACGCTGCACAGTGCTCCCGCACATCGCCCCGCACCACCCAGCTCCACTCAGCCCTGCGCTTCCACAAGCGTCGGCCGGCCGCCCGCCCGCCCGTCGGCTGCTCCACCCACACCCTCCCACTCCAGCCCACCACCTGCCTGCCCCAACACTCACACTCGGTTCAGCCAGTCCAGCACCTTCACCAGCGTCCGCCGCCCGCCCGCCCACCCACCCGCAGACTCTTTCAACTCCTCCACGCACACCCTCTCGCTCCAGCCTGCCGCGTCCCAGCGCGGTGCCGCCGTCACGCCGCGTGGCGTGCCGCGCGGCCGGCGGTGCTGCCGGCTCACCTGAGCGCCGGAGTCGAGCAGGAGCCGCGCCACTTCCACGTGGCCGTCCATGCTGGCTTCCATGAGGGCGGTGTGCATCTCTTCCGTCTTGTGCTCCTGGTCGGCGCCCGCCTCCAGCAGGAAGCGCACCATGGCCAGGTGGCCCTTGTAGCAGGCCAGCGTCAGCGCAGACTCCTGCCGGTGGCGGGTCAGGCGGCGGGTCAGGCGGCGGGTCAGGCGGCGGGTCAGGCGGCGGGTCAGGCGGCGGGTCAGGCGGCGGGCCACGGCACTAACCGGTTGCTGTTAATAACACGCCGACCGCATGGACCCGGACTCGACGAACTACCGAGCTCTTCCGGTTTCATTTGGCTCGGCAGGAAGGTTCGCCAGGAATGTCGTGTAAAAGCAGCACGATCGACTTCGGATCAACAAGAGTACGGAGGACAGCCAGCTACCAGAACAACGCCACAGCTGTTGCTGCCTAAGACAAATGGCTATTAGAACATCGACGCAGCAGCCAGAAGGGCCAGCCCCGTCAGCGGCGCGCACCCGACCCATGACCGCCGACGACCACGCCCACCTTGAACTCGTTGGAGTGGGTGTTGATGCCGGCGCCGTGGTCCAGCAGGATCTGCGGCAGCACGAGCGGCGCGTCAGCAGAGCGCTCATCAGACGGCGGGCGCGCCGCGCCGGTGGCCACAAGTCGCCTGTCGTTTGCACGGCCGCAAAACACAGCTGGACGCCCTCGTCTGACGGCTGCCGTCAAACGCAACGCCAGGACGGGACTGGGCTTCAAGCCGCCGCTTAAATGTGCCCATCCCGCGCCCGGGTCCGGATGGCGTCCGGCGAGTGGGCTTCATACGCGACGCTGATACTAACACACTTAACGTAACATATAGCGCTAACGCACACCACCCCCTCCAGAGCGCACACACATGTTTACCTAATCATACACACATACACACACGCACATTATATTCCCAAATTCTAGCGCACATACTAGGATGTGGACGCAATCACGATGCAAGTGATAAATGTACCCCCAGCGCCGCGCCAAAGTGGGGCTCATCCCCCCCCCCCCCCCCCCCCTCCAACCCCGGGCACCAGCGGAGACCACCACAGGCCCCCGTCCTCCAGCGCTGCGCTCACCCCGACCGCACGCAGACGCCGCGTGCCCCGCCGCGCTCACCTGCGCCACGTCCACGTGGCCGGCCGAGGCGGCCTCCATCAGAGGCGTGTGGCCGTTCTCGTTGGCGTCCTCGATGTTGGCGCCGGCCTGCAGCAGGGCGCGCACCACCTCCACGTGGCCGCCGGAACACGCGTACATCAGCGGGGTGTTGCCTGTCGGGACACGACACGACGTCACACACGGGGCGCCAGCCACGGTGGGGGACCAGCCAGGTGGGGCCGCCCAGACCGTCAGGCACTGGTCGCCGCGTCTCCAGACGGTCAGGTCGGTGGCACGTCTCAGCGCGCCGGCGAAGTCAGACCGTGTTATGGTCAACTACTGCTCGGAGCTGCTCTGGGCGCTGCTTTCAGCGCAGCGACCAAGTGCATGCCATGGTTGCATGCCGCTAATGGCAGTGGCCGCCGCCCGGGCTGCTGCATTCCGTCACAGCTGCTGTTAGGTCGGGTTATGTTCAGCTACTGGCGGCAGCCGGCCCGGCCGCTGCGTTTCAGTGCGGTGACAAAGTCGCTGAGCAGCCACTGTGCTGTTATGTGCAGCTACTGACCGGAGCTGCTCTGGGCGTTGACGTCGGCCTTGTGTTTGATGAGCAGCCGGACCACTTCGACATGGCCGGCGGTGGCCGCCTCCATGAGGGGCGTACAGTCGCCCTTCATGCCGCGGTCCTCCACGTTGGCACGCATGGCCAGCAGCACCTGCACACACACACACACACCCAATGAACTGTCGCCGCGGTAAGCGGACGTCGCTGGCCGGGGACAGGGGCAGGGGCAGGGGCAGGGGCAGGGGCGGGGCGGAGCGAGGGCGGGGCACGGGGCGGGGGATGGTCGGCGGGCAGCGGCTCCAGTGCACTTGGCACACAATTTGGATTAGTCAGCGGGCGCTGAACGGCTCCCACCCGCCGCTGGCCGACGCCCTTCACACGTCCATGGCTCCGAGCGGCGTCCTGCGAAGGTATCCGCCGACCTCGCCCCTCCACATCTCACGGCTCCCAGTCTGAACCTTCCCCGAGCCCAAGATCACCAGACCCCCCCCCCCCCCCCTTCCCTCCCTCCCTCTCTTCCCTCGCCCACCGCCCGGCAACGGCGTGCGCTAAAATTAGCCACGCAGCGCAGACGCGGCCTGACGGACGGCTGAGCCGGAGGCGGCGGCCGGCGGCCGCCCTCGGCCGGGGCGCACCTGAGCGAGCTCGTAGTAGCCCGAGTGGCAGGCGAGCGCCAGCAGCGACTCGCCCTTCTCGGTCGTCTCGTTGACGGACGAGCCCTCGTCCAGCAGGCGGCGGACGACCGGCACGTTCCCGTGCTGACACGCGTCCACGAGCGACGGCCTGCGCGCACAAGGCGTCCAACGGGCGTCAGGCGAGGGTGGGACGGGTGTCAAACGAAGGTGGGACGGGCGTCAAGCCGGTGTTGGAGGGGTGTCCTGCGAGCGTCAGACGAGTGCGGGATGGGCGTCAGGCGGGTGTGGACGGGCGTCACACCGGTATAAGTGGGTGTCCTGCGGCCGTCGGACGGCTGTAGGACGGGTGTGGGACGGGTGTGGGACGGGCGTCACGCCGGTGTTAGAGGGGCGTCAGACGGGTGTGAATGGGCGTTACGCCGGTGTCAGAGGGGGTCCAGCGGGCGTCAGACGGGCGTAGACGGGCGTCACATTGGTATTGGAGGGTGTCCTACGACCATCGGGTAGACTCTATACAGCGTAAAAAGATGAGATGGATGTCCAAATGTCAAGCAGTCCCTCAGCGGATGTCAAACGAGAGTCAAACAAACCGGCGACAGTAATGAGAACCGTCACCCGGGACTCCCAACAGCGTGATTGCGACACTCACCGTGCCCAAACAACACGCGGTTGTTTGAACAGCTTGCACAGCAACACAGTGTATAAGGTTCATTCAAAGCATGCAAGCAAACACTTGCATATCGGGCACACCACATAACGAATGTCCACATAACAAGTGTTTTCCACTCACCGGACTCACGAGTGCGGGCTCTCGGGGAGCCGGGGGAGCACGCCAGCAAAATATACGGCGCGACAAGGTTCGGCGCTGATTACGAGGTAACGAGACGTCGGTTTTAATAGCTCATACCGTGGATGGCTGCCTGCGACAGAATGCTGTCTGAAATCTGAGCCAGACGAGTGGACCATTCACGGAATGCTTCCGTACCACCAACCCCGCACGTCGAATCCCACCAATCGCAGCCGCGCTCCATGCTTCACCAGCCATCGAACGCGATCCCGCAACAGCACAACAAAGACAGCGCGGCCGGCCGGCCGGCCGGCACATCGGGGGCGATCCGTGCCCGGGGCAAAAACCGGGCCGGCTCCACTGCGCGGCGGCGCGCCTCTCTGGCCGGCACGGGGTTTTGCGGCCTGCTGATTCAGGCTGGACGCGCGCGGCCTCCGTGACCACGCGGCCCGCCTCTTTGTCGACTCTCGCCGCACGACCGCCGCAGCCGGGCCGCCGCCGCCGCCGCCGCCGCCGCCGTGCGCACGCACGCCGTGATAAGCCTCGCCAGCGGCGTCTTTAGTGGAAGTCTCGCAGGCGCGCGATAGCGTTCAGTGGGTCAGTAGGCGAGAGACACGGGTAGAGACACCGGACGAATGTTTTGCCGGCATTCTGCGCTTGATGCGCTGTCGCCCCAAACACTCAAAAATGACTCGCAAATGACTAGCAGCAGCAGCGGGTTTTCCGTGCCGTCAAACTCCCAATGACAGCGCAGTCTGCCGGCTGCCGGACCGCGCCAATCCATTCACCGGCCGCTCACTGTCAACAGCCGGGCGGTAACGCAGCGGGCGGCGCCCCGCCCGCCCAGCCGCCGCTCGCGACGAGCCACCGGCGGCCGACCGGCGGCCGGACGCCGAGCGGACGGCGTGCGGCCGCCGCACCGGCCGAGGCTCGCAGCGCACCGGCTCCCGCTCCGGAACTGCGCGCGCGCGCGGCCGCCGTCTCCACAGATGCGCTCGGGCACGGGCCGACCGGATCTCTCGCCAGTAAGCGTTCAGGGCCGGTGCCCCACCGACGGCGGCGTGCAGCAGAGCCCGCGGCCGGCGCCCGCGACGCTGGTTAACGGGTCCGGTAGGCCGGCACATCGACACCGAGGGAGCTTAAGGCCACCAGCAACGCACTGCAGGCAGAGCTTCGCAGAACACGCCAAGATGGCTCGACCTCAAGGACGTCCATGTCGCTTGGAGCGCATGGAACTTCATGGTACAGCCAGAAGGATCAAGTGTTCTCAGATCACATCAAATGCACGATGGGGCTGGGGGATCGAGTGGATCCGGGAAATCACGCTCCAGGGTGAGCGGCCCAACCCCTTCCCCTGTGCTCGGCGTTGCCCCCTGCCCCTTTGGCTGGTGGTGACCGTCTCCAGCGTGACCTTTTGTGCGCCGAGGTTAGCAGAGACTTAATCTATCTTCACGTGCTCAATAATAGTCACACTACTCATATGTAGGCCGAAAGACAAACAAACATCTGCGAAGCCACCGCACTACATCCTGCGTCCCTCGCCCGGCTCCCACACCGTTCGTCCCCAGCCATCATCGCTTCCGCATGCCCTGACCTACCCTACCCTGCCCCGTCTCCATCTCCGGGCCACTCACTGGCTGGTGGTGTCGGTGGCGCTGTCGCTGCGCATGCGCGTGAGCGCGGCGGCCGCTTCGTCGAGCGCCGAGCTGACGCTGGAGGTGAGCTTGCGCAGCACCTCCGGGTCGGCGAGCACGCGGCTGCTGTCGGCGCTCTTGCCGATACCTGCCGGCGAGCGGGCCGCGCGGCGGGGTCAGGCGCCGGGTCACCGGGGTCACGCGTCGGGCCGCCGGGGTCAGACGGGGCGCGCCAGGCTCCAATTCGGCAAAGCACGAGACATATACACCGGAGAGGGAGCCTACTCACGGAAACGACCTGTCCCGGCCGGCGAGCAGAGGTCTTAATGAAACAAGAGTGCACAGTAAACCGGACAACAGAACAGGCCGGAATCGTGAGCCGAACGTATACAACTGGGCAAAACAGCACGAGTCCCGGGCGCAGTTGGCGGACGGCGTCGCAATGAGGAAAAGGGCCGGGCTCGACCGGAATGCACACTGCGCTGGCGAGGTGAATATACCACTGGTGCTGATGGGGGGGGGGGGGGGGGGGAGAGACAGCCTCCACGTATCGGTAACCACCGCCGGGCCACCAATGGCTCTCAGCGTGCTAGCATGCCAGTACCACACCTGACAACTCTGAGGAGAACAGGGAGCGCGACGAAAGCATACTGGTCCGCACCATCACGCAGCCTGTGAACGGACCGCCGAGCCACGGAGGGCTGTGACGGCCCGTGTTGGCCCATACTACATAGCCAAACATCGCTGCTCCCGGTGGCTGTGTTACACGACTCGACCGAGTGCGCCAGCGTGAATGACTCGCAAAACGGGACCACCATACCAAATGCTCTTCAAACACGACTTTCCATCATAATTCGTGCTGCTGGTTTGTCGCGATTGAACGAATCGAAGAGAGACTAGCGATAATATGAATGTTCGCAGCAGCACGTCCGGCCGTTTTTCTTATATGTTCTAAATACTGAACGTGTGCGCCTATCTCCGTGCCACCGCTCCCTCCGCACCACACTGCATGCACAGCCGTCACAAAACGGCCAAAAAACTAGCATACAAACCAGTTTTTAGACCTAGAGAAGCCCCCAGACCAGCACCTGTACGCGGCACTTCCGAGCGCAGAGATGCGCCTGTTGATGACGTCACGGCGCAGCGTGCCCGCCCGGCCACGCGTCAGCCCCCACCAGAGACGACGCGGAAACAAACCGAGTCCTGTCAACAGACGCGGCGGCCGCCGTCCCGGCCGTGGTGGGAGCCGCGCGCCCGCCGGTCAGCCGCTGGCCCACATAGCCGGCCGGCTGAGCCGGGCACGCCGGCAGAGCCGGACGCCGTGTTTACCGGCACGCGCGGGGGCGCCAGCGCGCCCCACGCACCGCCAGCTGGCGGCGCCAGTCGCAGATGCGGGCCGATCGGCGCGAGACACGTGGCCGGCGCCGGGTTCGCCACGCTCCCACCACAGCTGCGGCCGGCCAGCCGGCCGGGTCGGCCGGGCCGGGCCGGGCGAGGCGGGCCCGCGGAGCGTCGCTACCGACCGGCGCCTCGCGCTGGCTGGCCCGCTTCCCGAGCGTGTCGACACATGGGCGTTCCATCGCCCCGGCGGCAGCCTCGACCGGGCGCCCGCGTCCCCACCAGCCTCCATCACCGGCGATCTGCCTCACCGGCGTCCGTCAGCGGGCCCGGGTGCCGACAGCCGGGCGGCGGTCGCGCGGCGCCACACGTGCGCGCGCCGGCTGAGTTCAGCACGCGCTGACGCGGCCGCCGGGAAGGCCGTCGGCACTCGCTGCGTCACGCCCGGCGCCGCTGCCGGCCGAGGCCGCTCTCCTGTGCAGCGACGCACGGCGCCGTCGTGCGGGGGGGGGGGGGGAGCTGTGGTGACCACAGCTGGAGCCCAGCCGTCCCGGCAGCGGGCGGGCCTCAAGTCAGGCCTCCCACGCTGCAGGTGCCTTGTTGTGCTGACTGAGCTGCCGGTGCCTGGAGCCGGCTCAGCTCAGCCCCTGTGCGGTCCGCCAGCCGACAGTGGCTGAGCACCGACCGACCGACCGGCCGGGGCAGGTGAGCAGGCTGACGCCAGGACCGGGCGCCCAGTGGCGGCGGTCGCCGCCGCCCCGGCGCAGCCAGGCGCGGAGCACTGACCCGTGATGCGCCCCAGGGCGTCGTGAGGCAGGTCACCGCCATCAGAGCTGTCAATCGAGTGTCCATCCGACGTCACCGCCGGGCGCCCAGAGCCACCCGGCGGCGCCAGCCTGTCCCCACGACCCCCACTCCCAGACCCCTCCCCGTTTCCGCCGTCGGTCGCAACGGGCGGGCCTCACGACACGGCACCGAGCGAGCCGAGGCCAGTCAGCCGGGCGGCGGTCGACCGGCAGCAGCGGCGGCCGGGCGCCGGCGCCGGCGCCTGGGTCGGACGGACACCGCAGGGGGCGGGAGACGGCGGCGGTCGACCGGCGGCAACGGCGGCCGGGCGCCGGCGCCTGGGTCGGACGGACACCGCAGGGGGCGGGAGACGGCGGCGGGTCGACCGGCGGCAACGGCGGCCGGCGCCGGCGCCTGGGTCGGACGGACACCGCAGGGGCGGAGACGGCGGCGGTCGACCGGCAGCGACGGCGGCCGGGCGCGGCGCCTGGGTCGGACGGACACCGCAGGGGGCCGGAGACGGCGGCGGTCGACCGGCGGCAACGGCGGCCGGGCGCCGGCGCCTGGGTCGGACGGACACCGCAGGGGGCGGGAGACGGCGGCGGTCGACCGGCAGCGACGGCGGCCGGGCGCCGGCGCCTGGGTCGGACGGACACCGCAGGGGGCCGGAGACGGCGGCGGTCGACCGGCGGCAACGGCGGCCGGGCGCCGGCGCCTGGGTCGGACGGACACCGCAGGGGGCGGGAGACGGCGGCGGTCGACCGGCGGCAACGGCGGCCGGGCGCCGGCGCCTGGGTCGGACGGACACCGCAGGGGGCGGGAGACGGCGGCGGTCGACCGGCAGCGACGGCGGCCGGGCGCCGGCGCCTGGGTCGGACGGACACCGCAGGGGGCCGGAGACGGCGGCGGTCGACCGGCGGCAACGGCGGCCGGGCGCCGGCGCCTGGGTCGGGCGGCCACCGCAGGGGGCGGGAGACGGCGGCGGTCGACCGGCGGCAACGGCGGCCGGGCGCCGGCGCCTGGGTCGGACGGACACCGCAGGGGGCGGGAGACGGCGGCGGTCGACCGGCAGCGACGGCGGCCGGGCGCCGGCGCCTGGGTCGGACGGACACCGCAGGGGGCCGGAGACGGCGGCGGTCGACCGGCGGCAACGGCGGCCGGGCGCCGGCGCCTGGGTCGGACGGACACCGCAGGGGGCGGGAGACGGCGGCGGTCGACCGGCAGCGACGGCGGCCGGGCGCCGGCGCCTGGGTCGGACGGACACCGCAGGGGGCGGGAGACGGCGGCGGTCGACCGGCGGCCGGAAGACCGCACCGAGGGTCGGGGGCGCCCTCCCGGCCGTCCGCGAGGGTCAACACCTGCTGACGACCGCCCAAAATAAGGCACGACGGCAACACACAGACAAGAACACCGCAGCATTGCACCGCAAGTTCGCCGCGAGGCGCGGCAAATCGCGACGCCGCGCCGTCGGTTCCCAGAGCTCGCCGGTCCCGCCGCGCCTCATCCAAAAGCCGCCGCCACGTCCAGCGGCCGGCGGGCGCAGCAGCGGTCGTCCAGCGCCGGCCACTCGTTATTTGTGCCCGGTCCGGTCCGCTCATTAGTCCATGTTATCGAGGCGGCGCGCCGCTTCGGCCGGCGGCGCCCGCCACCATCCCCCGATCACGGCAGGGCGAGGCGGCGGCCTTGGTCGAGCCAGCCGGGCGATGGACGTCTGATGACGGCTCCCCGGTCGGCCGGTGAGCGGCGACGACCCTAAACCGACCACTGGTATCCCTAGCAGCGGACGCCGACGTTCACAGAAACGGGCCCGTCTGCCCGGTCACGGTCAGTCATGGTCACAGTCACGGTCACGGTCACGGTCACGGTCACGGTCGCAGTCACGGTTGAGGTCACGGTTCACGGTCGCGGTCCGAGGTCACGGTCGAGGTCACGATTCACAGTCGCGGTCCCCGCACCACAAACGCACGCCCTCGAGCAGACCCTGGTTAGAGCTAGTCCAGCTGGGGCGTCCTTCACTTCACGCCGACCGGCCTCGGGACGTTGATCCCACGTGAGCCTCTGTCACGTCAGGTCAGGTCACGTCAGGTCAGGTCACGTCAGGTTAGAATGCGTCACTTACCGGCTGCCTCAAGCCTCTGAAGCGGCTGCAACTCTCAGGGGTGACATAAGACAGGACACGGGTCACAGGTCAGGTCAGGTCCGGCCAGACCACTCACCGGCTGCCTCGAGCAGGGCCTCGAGTCGGGCGCGCGTCTCGGGGGTGACGCTGGACAGGTCGGCCGGGTCGGCGGCCTCCGCCTCCAGCAGGAACTGCGGCGACAGCAGGCGCGCCTCGGAGGCGCCGTCCAGCTGGAACGAGCTCACCTGGCGGCACAGCACAGCACACAGGCCGTCAGCAACGGTGCACTCAACGGCGCCTCCTACGTACGGAGTCCGATATTTCGGCGGGATGGCTTTGAGTACGAGATGATGTGCGCCGTTTTGGCTGGGAGTTAGCTTTTGTTTCACAATCGACCGTGTTTCTGTCGAAACATCATTAGTGGAAAAACAAGTCGATGCACTACATGTGGGCAGCATCTGCAGCTTGGACCACCTATTCGCCTATTTTGGTTCACACTGGTCATACACAACAGCTGCCACGTTACACCTGACCGCCATTGTTCCCAGTCACAAGCTCGAGGAGCACATTTCGTGACAACACTTCCCCCAGCCAGCATCGGCAGCTCCCACACAAGCCGCAGACGCTGCTGCCGGCGTCAGTCCGCTCCCGTGACATCCAGACGGCACCGGCCGGCAGCGACGCTGCTGCCGGCGTCGGCCCACTACCGTGACATCCAGACGGCACCGGCCGGCAGCACACGCGCCACAACATTGAGACGGCACCGCGCCACCAACCAACTCCCCTCCCACGCAGAACCGGCACCACCGGCCACCAACACTTCCGTAACGTCAGCCAGTGCTGGCGCTGACGCACAACAGACGATGAGAACACGTGCCAGGCCTTTTTGCCTAAGTGTGCGTGCGATTCTCGATCGTGTTCGCCTTCAGCGTGCGACAGCCACCAGTTCTCAATAAAAAATGACTCGCGCATAATGTCCACCAATCGCAGTGTCAGTACGAATGTTCCGACAACGTAACAAGTTTTGGACTAACAATACGGAACAGTATACCGACATCACGTACCGACCAAGTCTTTCAACGGTCCTGTTGCTACGGTTCTATGTTAAATTCCTCTATGCCGAGATGATCTCAGTACCCGGTCGACTTTCCGCGTTTGCGCAAAGCGCTGATAGCTCCACATAGCCTTAGCCAAGTACTGCACAGGCTCAAGACATCGAGCCATTCACCGCAGCTTCCGACTTCCGACGCCCGGACGTGGGAAAACTGCGCCACTCAAGACCATGCACAAACGATTACTGACCACCCCAAGTCCCCAGCTCGGTGCGCAAAAATGCGTTCCCAAAATCCGTGCACTGATCACTTTCTGCATCCGCTTGTGAGGAACAAGACTTTGAACGACTGACATCGTAATTGCCACCTCACTGTTTGTTTTCATTTTTGACGAAAGAAGATCGATGACCAATTAATAAATGACACCACTCCCACGCCTCTGAAGTCTGAGCAGAGGCTTGCTCACAATCCGGCACGCACGTTCATTCACCTCCCATTATCGGCGAGGACTCGCTAAGTTGAGGTTCCAGACCTGCTGCCGATTGACAAGCCGACACCTGCAGCCGTCCGTCGGCACCGTCTCGTCTGCTGCTCGCTGCAGCCCACTGCTCGGGTCTCCTCGCCTGGCTCTGCAGCCTGCCAGTCACCGCAGGGGCAGTCGCCTGGCGTCGCGCCTCACCCACCACCTGACGTGGGCTCCGCCGCCCGTCCTCGGGCGCCACCGCCTGTGCGCGCCTGGACGGCCGCCCCCTGACGACACGGGGCGGCCGTCCCGTGCCGCCCCGTCCGTGAGTCGCGGCCCTTCCCCCGGTCACGTGACTGGGCCGTCACATTCCAGCGGCGGCCGCGGCGGCACCGAGCAGGGGAGGGGAGGAAAGAGCGGGGGCGGGGTAGCCCGCCTGCGGGCAGGACGACGAGGTGCCGCCACCGCCCCATCAGCTGACCGCTCGCTGACGCAGGGGGAGGGATAGCCCGCGGGCGGGACGGGCGGGACAGAGAGGGGCGCCCTCCCCGACAGCTGACCGTTCGCCGGGCCGGCGCACAATGGCGGCGGTGCGGGGGGAGGGGGCAGTCATCACCGGCCGGCGACGGGGAGCCGGCCGGCCCAGTGGGGAGACAGCCCGGAAACCACTGGGTTGTTCCCTTGGTACGGGGCCATTACTGGCCTTCAAGGCAAGGTCGCCGCAAGACATTTGGAATGCGGCTGTCATTGACAGATTTACTCGTTGTCAATGTGCAGTATGCGTCACGATACGGTGTCGTGTGGCAGTCAGATCAACCTGGGTCAGGCTTTCTTTGCCCCCACTGTCCGAGGCCACCAGAGCCCGGTTGCTGAAATCTCTCACAGAATCATATCGCCTCAATCTGGTTCATAATGATGATGATTTGGGCTTTAGGGCGCACCGACTACCCGGATTATATGACGCCCATAGTAATCTTGTTCATGGTCTTCCCAAAATTACGAAAACAAGCCCTTTCGGTTGCCAAAGTCAAACTCCTGAGTAAGCTGGGTCCGTGAAAGGGTTTTTCGTAGTTTACGCGTTCTTAGAAAATAAACAAGCATAACGGAGACAGTTCAGAAGTCACATCAGCATCCCATTAGCCTGCCTGATCACACCAGGCCTAGGACGTGGTCAGGTAAAAGGTGGGAAATACCGGTCAAGATCGCGCATCCGTAAAATGAATAAGGAGCGGAAGTTGAAAACTCGCAGCCCGGCGATTTCACGACAGACCGTCCGCTCCTTGATAACTGAAGGCGCAAATTCGCTAGCAGAGCCTCATCCCGCGGCCCCACTGGTTCCCGGAATAAGGGAGCCTGTTTGATAACGGACGTAACCGGTACGGGACCATCCACCTGTGACGTCTGTAGCAGCTAACCCTGAATTTCATTCAGCCGGCTCATGGTGTGGTATCTAGGGACATCTTCAGCGTTTACGCAGCGAGGAGACAGTAGCAAACTTCGGATTCGCACAATACGGACTGGCGCGACCAAGATGCAACCACAGAAGACGTGCACCACAAAGCGCACACTTATACAGACCAGGCAATTCGTCGTGAACTGTCACAGCAGCATCATTATTGAACTGCGCCACGTCAGTGACACATCCAGCACCGACTGCAAACAACTCCGGAAACGAACGAGCGCAGCCGGTGCCGGCGTCACATCGACGGACGGTTCTCACAGAGCCAGGTGTTCGCGTCGCCCACTCGCCTGTCAGCGCGTGATCAAAACTGGCCGCGGCGGCCGAAACATGGACGAAACCGGGCGAACTCGGCACAAAAGTTTCTCAGCAGACAACGACGCAGTTCGGAAGGTAGCGACCTGAACCGTCTCGGGTCAGGCCCGTTCTGGGCCTCAACGCATCGCGACCGCCCAGGCACTAACGGGCTTCGGCGCGACAGCCTTAGTCAAAGCGCTGGAAATGCGGAGACCCACCCCCTTCCCCGTAAAATCCACTTGCCAACGCCAATAAATACCGACACGACCGTCGTAAAAGCTCCATTAAGTGTCCAGACGTTCCTCGGTTATCAAACACCTCCTGCATTGCGATAACCGACGGTAAATCCCTGGCCATAGGCAGCCGCCCATGTCGCCGCAGTTCCAAAAATACCCATATCGCCGCATCTCCCACTCGTTCCGTGTCACTTAGGTCTGACGGGGACCTTCCCATCTCAAAGCCGAGGGGCCGCCGCCGCCGCCTCCCACCGCATCCCTGCGTTTAAACCCGCCAAGGTCGCGTCACCCTCCACGCCGCTGCCGCGCCAGGGAAAGGGAAACGCTGCGCACGACACCACGGGGGCGGCGCTGGCCGCTGATGAGCCGCGCCGCGAGCAGCTCGGGCGGCGGCGGCGCGCCGTGACCCGGCGGCCCGTGTCGCCGGTGTCGCCGGTGTCGCCGGCGAGCGCCGCCCGACCGCCGGGCGTTACGTGTAGTCGGCCGGCCGGCGGCTTCCCACGGTGCCGGGCGCCGTCGACCGGCCATCCGGGCGGCCGGGCGGCCGGGCGGCGGAGCCGGCGCACGAGGCCACCTGCCGGCCGCGGTGCCGGCGCGCACCGGCTCCCGACCGTGACGGCGCCGGCAGCGCGCCAGCCGGGGTCAGCCGCGTGTCACCGCCGAGACACCGGAACGGCACAGGCGGCAACGGGCCAGATCACCTCCTGGTAGGCTAGGTTAGGTTGGGCTAGGCCAGATTATGCTAGCTTTCAGGTTACGTTACGTTAGGTTAGGTTACGTTAAGTTACGTTACGTTGCGCTGGGCTAGGCCAGACCTAACACGCACGCAGCGCGACAGTGCATACACAGCTTAAATCACATTTCTGACACAAAACCAGCCGGGGTCATTTGACGGCCATGGCATTTCTGTGCGGCCGTGTCCTGCCAAGTCAAGTTTGGCCACATCTGTTCAGGCCCGATGACGACAGGTCTGTGTGGGCCGGACCAGGTCAGGTCAGGCCTGGTGTGGTTCCGCCAGCCACCCGCCGGCCAACACCGCTCTGAAGCCCACTCAATGGACGCTGCGAGCCCCAGCTGCCACCAGCCAGGCTCAATAGCCGTCCCACCCGGACGCACATCAATGAAGTTATTAATTTAACATCCTAAATCGTGGGCGTTGTGGCTAGCGCCAATACGGTGTCAGACGTATGGGGCGTCAACTCATCACCTCAGCAGCCACGTACCAAACGGAGTGTAGCTGTCCATGTATGTAAATGGCACGCTCGTGCTAAGAGCGGGGTTCTTCCGACAGCTGTTGAGCAGATAAAAATACGCCCGTACACCGGGTCAGTGTCTACCTGAAAACATCCACTACTCTTGCCAAAGGCAGTCTGAAACATCGCTGTGGAACCCGCCCCGCTCGAAAAGCAGGCAAACTTCCGGTGCCGGCTGCCACCCCACGGCCCCGGGGCAGTCCCCCTCGTCACGTGACGCCTTCGGCCGCACCCCTGCGTGCGCGGCCGCCGCCGCCGCCGGGGGGCCGCTGCGGCGGCGGCGCCTGGTGACGCGCGTGGTGTCGGACGCCGCTTGCGCCGACACTCCCCAGTACCGGCCAGCACGACGCTCGACAAAAGCGCAACGATGCTTCAGGATGGGACGGCGGAGCCAGCGGAGACGGCGGGAACGATGTGGACGATGGGTTCACCAGGACTGCAGTGGTACAGTCTTGGTGAAACACTCAAAGACAACGTGAGAATGGTTAGTGCAGGCTCTTTGTTCTTGAAGAATGCCTTCCCCAACCAGTCCTGAACACATCGGGTCGCCCAGCCGAGAAAAGAGATCAGTCACCGCACTGGTCAAAGATACAAACAAGGAGACCGACCACATGACGAAACAATGGAAGGAGCACACAGTGCAAACGAAACAGATCAAAGTCCACCAGCCTGGACAAATGCAAACACAGAGATAAGTGGCCATGTGTCGTTTTGTTCTCTTAACAGGGAAGAGTACACCAAACGCCAGGTCTGTAAATGCTACAAGGCTTTCAGGTGAACATGTACCATGCCGGGCAAATAAAACATGGGTTCCACAGAAGATGATTGCATTTAGAACCCCCAAAATCTGGTGCCTTAATGTGCCAACACTTGCATGAGAAGAAGTGGATAATCTATGCCTAACCAAATGACAACCTTCAGAGGCATAAGCCTTGATATGATTGATGAAAACTTCTGGAATGTAAGCCTTTAAATAATCAGAAAATCCCCAAAAAGGCCACACTAGCCAACTTGCTCCATTAGATAATCCAAAAATCACGAATGTTTCTGCATGCCTTAATAACAGACATGGATTCCCTCACTATTGATGGAGGCCGACACAAAAATGAGCTTCATTCACCCCTGTGTTTGCAGCAGGTTTTCCAGCTGCCAGGATGGAGTAGCCAAGTGCATCCATTTTACAAATATCCTGCCATATTCTCTGACCATGTGATAAATGTATCAGCACATCTCATCACCATCTATACTGCTTTTCACTTCACGCATCCTATGTTTTGGAACACCATATTACATCATGTCAAAAGAAAGTGAAATTTCTTTGTTCAAAGAATATCAACCAACATCTTCTTCATATCAGATGGTGGCCTATGACAAACTAAGGAAGGACAATTCCATCATTGTTAAAAAGACGATTTGGTGGCCATACAATCCCAACAATGGGACGACAGGCTATCAGACATACTTATCAATCTGGCACATAACCAAGCTGCACATATTGGGCAATAGCAACTCTACTCTTACAACTCTTAAAATGAAGTACAAGAATGGCAATGAAACAGTACAATAGGGATGTCATTCACATGGAAAGCCCACACCTATGGACCGACTGTCCACTTGGAAGTCACACTTCTTATTGCAAACCGGGAATCAACAATGAGCCATTTGCCAAAAGTTGTGATCCTCATGTGCTGCTTCTCTGTGTGCCTTTACCTGGAGGCTGTGAAACTTACAGCACCAGAGAAGCATTAATTGTTATGCAGTCTGCGCTGATGCTTTTCTAAAAACAGTGGCTACTTCAGAAGAATGAGGTATCTTCAAAATGTCAGTCACTCACAACAAAGCAGTCTCACATCAAGGTGCATTTCTAACCAACCAAACTTCAAGTGATTGTTCTCACACACACACCTGTTTTTTCCATCTCTTCATCAAAGTGGGCTCATCTCAGCACACATAGAAAAGGTAAGAGAAACCCAGCATGACAATGCCAGGTCATGTTCCATTAATGCTAATATATACCTTTATATGCTAACTTGCACTTATATATGCTATACATACAAATATATACACACACACACACACACACATATATATATATATATATATATATATATATATATATATCAAATATACAAAGTAGGCTATAACCAACCAACTCAAGTATCAACTTGGCTTGATATCAGTGTGCACTGCAAAAGCCTTCTACTACTCTAAGCCAAATACACTGAAACCTGAAGGATTTTTCAACCCTCACAAATGGATGTCTGAAGCCCTTCAAAATATACCAGGACCCTATAAACACAGAACCCCATAGGATGCTGGATGCCCCCACCCTATGGGATTCATGCACATGTCTCCAGTCATGGACAGATCCATCCAGTCTGCTATGGGTCACTGGTGGGTGGTTACCTGGTAGTAAAGCCATTAATGTGCCAAGCCTGAAAAAGCTGGCAATTGCTTTGTTAAAAAGTCATCAGAAATGTACTCTGCACTTTCATGAATGAAAACCAAGAAATCTTCATCCTAATGAAAGAATTGTCTGCCCAGCCTGATCCATATATTTAATGGGAATTTGGTCTCAATTTCAGCAGAGCGGCCACCCCACAAAGCATTCTTGATTTGCATTTCAGCCAAAAGATAAGCATGCTTTCAGGTGATCCTGAGCTGAAACATTATATGTTTTCCATTCTGATGACTCTCTGATTAACCAAAATGTTGCCACAATGAAACCACAACAAATGCACACATAGTGCATATCATTCACCAAATGTATGCTGAAGCCAACAACCTTGCATAAGTATTAGGGACAGACAGAACTCCTGACAACATAAAAAAAACATAAAACAAATCAAAACATGCCAAAGCTTTACAAGCATCCAACTAGCTTATAATTTGCAAAAGATCCTATCATGTTCCTGACAATGCTCAAATTGAAACCTACAAAAGAAATGTTGGTGCAAACTGACACTGACTTCTTGGAACCCAGTAGGCCACATTGCCTACCCCTCCCACACACACTGCTCTGTTCACACAAAAAGTAGCCAAAAGTGTCTTCCTGACACATTCAAATATATGTTCATGTACAAGGACTGCCATCATACTTGGAGAGAATGAAACAAGAGCTCAGCTAACAGCATTGCACCAGTACCTGAGAGTAACCTAATGCAATGCTTGTATTTCACCATGCAATGTGAATCACTTCCCAAAACAATAAAAGGCAGCTTCTTTACAAATCAATAGTATGCTGTAAGCTTTGCTTGAACACAGTAGCATGATGCAAGGCAGACAGGAAACATTTTGCTATGTCCTGGTACTGATGCCTGCACTTTTAAGGACAACAGAATTACAAGTTAAACTAACAAAATTTTCTCTCAAACAAATTTATCTGGCCTTATTGGTTGTTCCAAATAAACAAGGTAAATCCAAAGAAACATACAAAATAAGAACTACCAACAAATTTATTTGATCTTACTTCTTGTTCCAAATAAACAAGGTAAGGCCAAAGGAACAGTTGACAAAAAACAAAAAACAAAAAACAATAAAAACAACAATTCCATTTTATGCACACAAAAGCAATTTTTATTCTTAATTTACTGAACAACCAGATGGCAAATTTGACCTGATCTATTACAATTCACAAACCACACAACCATTCTTACAACAGTTGATGACAGCAGGAAAGGTGATAACTTATAGGACAACCATACAACAGGTACATGGCAAGGCATCATTACATTGATTATCAAGTTGGTACCTTGCATGGTAAGTGCAAATCAAGGGCACTGAACTTGACCACATGGTGAGCCACATTTGCCTACAAAGGACAAAACCGCACATCGATACAAACGAGCGACACAGGAGATAAATTATATGAACGGACGTCTTCAAAGTTACAATTATAGTCCACTTAGCGCCACTCCACCACCCATCAACACACCAACAGAACAAGACAGGAAGGACAGCACAGCTACGCACCAACGCATCCACGTTCGTCGCAATGCGCAACGAATACTTACGGGGGAGACGTCGGAGCTGTCACTTCCAGATCCTCCGAGCATGCAGTGCATAAACCCAGGGATCCTCTCGTCTATCCCCTCGGCACCTCGTCTATCAAGTTCGGAATCAGATAGTGATTGACCCGAAGATCCACTGACCGCGGCACCTTTCTTGCCGCACTTCTTCCCCTTTTCCTCGCCGCTTTTACGATTTATCGGATTCTTCAATTTGTCTACATTCTGCATCTTTAGATACAGAGATGCTTAATCATTCATCTGACTCGTTTTGAGCCTCACCCTTGCCTCACAATTCACTTTGCACGATAGCGCACACCTCACGAGCGGCTTCGCAGAACATCGAGCGCCATATTTGCTTAGGGTTGACAGTCCGATCACGAAGTTCCCGTATGTTGCCACCAAATACTACGGTTTCTATTTTTCAGAAAAACAGTGCTGTCAGCTCAGCTATGAATAAGCATTCTAAACGCATTTGCATGATTCAAGAGACAACATCTGATTTTCCTAGATCAGACATATTTCTATGATCTTTTACATCGCGGCTGGGTTCTTGAAGCTGACATCAATCTCATGCGTGGAGTAGAATCGTCACCAGGCACCTCTAGCTCTAAATTTTACCCTCTGTGTTACCAGATTCGAAGGAATCTCCTCACGCTACCTTCGACACACGAGCCTATTCTTGTTCTTTTTTGCGTTTTATGGGCTGCCTGGCTGCTTGTCGGGAGGACTGTTTGTTATCTTTTAAGCAATGAACATATTGCCACTACAGCAACGCTTGACGGGAATCTGGTGACGTGTGTTCACTGATCAGCTGAAAAAATTGTGTTCCTGTAGCCCATTCGAGGCCATCCCAGGTACGGGACCGCAGTTGAAATCAGCCGCTACGGCCCCTGATCAACACAGGAGGCCCTCGTTTTGTCAGGAACCCAGAACATTTCAAATCGCGGGCCCAGCCTCGTTCTTGCTGGGAAAACGGGTCTCAAGGGCTCAGACGGACATGGAGCCGACTGTTTCGAACTGTGTTCAGGCCCTATATAATGGCGATAGAGAACTCTAGTAAGAGAGACCTAGAAGAAACCATCTGACTAACATTTCAGGTCATGGCACTCATAGCAGGTCATGGTATTTCGGGTCAGAGTCCAGCCGGGACCTTGACCTTCGTTCCCGGGGCCCTCCGGCCCGTCTTCCGACCCCCCTAAACAAAGTCCGTGACCGACTAGGGGCCACTAGCCGGGACATGTGCCCCAGTTATGCATTGTGGGTCCCTGACCGACAAAGGGAGCCCAGTCAATGTTTCAGGGACTCAGACCAATGAAAATAGTGGCCTCCGGTCCTGCTCGTGCATGGAAAATGGTCCCCCAGAGTCTAGGCTGCCAGGGAGCTAACTGTTCGGTATTCGTGATCTCTGGTCGAGCAATACACCCGCATTGTCTCAAAGGATCCTCAAACGGAACAAGAAGACCTCTGACTGTATTTCACGTCACGACCTCATGGGCTTGCCCTTTTTATTCTTTATGTGACCTACATCCAATCCTTCAGGCCTCATGCCCTGCAACCGGGCCTTAGAAAGTCTGTTCCGTCGCGGTTACCGGGCCCCTCTTTGGGCATCATCGAATGCTGCTAATGGTGGCCCCGGGGCCCCTTGCGAACACAGGACCCTCTTTTAGGCACCGTGGGCCCCTGACAGGCACATGGACACCGACTAGTGAAAATCACTGGAATTGTTATAGGGGTTTGTTGACTTTCAACTGATGCTTTCCAGACCTGAGATAAGTTCTTTGCGCTTACTTGAATGACACAAAATAAACGAATCTCTTCCCTGAATCCACCAGCGGCCCCATTTCGGCCACCCAGCATATGGGGGAAAAGATATCTTTGGCCTTTACATCATACGTGGGGGACAGTTTGCCTCGCGGATACACCGCCACTGGCCTTCTGAGCCCATGACGGGCCCATCTCAGACCAGAGATGAACGATTCCCAGGCCCGAAAAGTGAGATAGGCCTAAAGTTCCCCGTTCCAAGCCCAAAGTTTTCCGTCCCTCTGCCTGTACTGGGTCCCTACACAGCCTAAAACGAGCAACCCTCCTCCCACCCTTAGGTGAAATACCAGCATGAGGGATTTCCTTATGTTGGTATTTCAGCTCTCAGTCTGAAAGCATGGGACCCATTGCGCAATTTTTTTGCATAGGGCGTCTCTTGTTAAAATCTGAGTGCTGCCACAATCGAACAAGGGGTGTGCACCAGATCAACATGAATGTATGATAGTGATGTGATTGTAGACCAGTATCTAGTCAAAGCAATTTGTGATGTTGATCGTTTCCAAAATAATCATCAGAAATAGCAACTTTGTGGAAAAATGCAAGAACACAAAATGATCACAGGGGTAAAGCATACCAATTTAGGCAGTGCTGCTAGTCATGGCGAATTTGATGCTCGGGATCAAACTTGCTTAGGAATAGCGTCATATTTGAGAATGCGAATGCAAGCAAAAAAACAGAAAATCGCGGGCAAATATACAAGAGCACCACGGGAAAAAGGCCAATACACACGCAAGTGTGGGGTGAACACGGTGAACCAAGGAATGGACTGAAGACAGAGGCGCCTGTTAAGAGTCTGATTCCGTGTGATGAGCTTATCATGAGTTTGATAAACGTGGTGAGCTAATGAATGTGGACAAAATATCATTAAAACAAGATTTTCCCTTTCATAGTGTTCATTATGTACTAATGCTGTATAAAAACCTTTGTTAATTCTTTCAAAACAACTTCCAGGGCGTAGTAAATCGTGAAAACGGCTATTATCAACCTAAAAATGGCCTTGGGTGTAGCAAAAGCCCGGACTGCCTTCTAAACGTGCTAATTTAAGTCTTGGAGCGTTCAAAAGTGCTTATTTCAGGTACGTCAAAATTTTCGTCCGTCTATTGGCCACCGCCTGGTGTTAGCCGCTGCGTAGACGCGGCGCGAGCTACGGAGGACTGCAACATAGAGCTGCGGGGTTTTGTTTCTAACGCTTGCGAGCGCGCATGTTCAAAACGTTGTTGCATTATTTTTCTCATCCGCCGATTCTCGGTGAAGACTTAACGCTCCCAAACGAACATGGCTGGCCATTTGGATGCAAATTTGTCATTTCATTTCGTTCGTTATCTACGCTCACTTGGCCTTCAAGGTCTATGTAGTACCCAGAAAAGGGTTGGCGAGGCTTCTGAGTTATATTTGTCTAGAAAGAGCGCGCCGAACCATCTTGAGATCAAATGCACCGACGGCTTATTTCATACAGTAATACAACGAGAACTTCATCTTCCCGGAGCCTCTGGCTTCCATTCCAGCTAAACAAAACTAAAATTAAAAACTGCTCTGAAAACAGCCTTTTAAAAACCTTTAGCCAAAAAGCTTCTAAAAACTTGTAAGCTACATAGAACGTTAAAATTTAAACTAAAACTTCTGGCTTCCGTTTCAGTGAAAACGAAGCTAAAAACGGATAGCATGGTGCCCTCATAATGAAATGGGTCATATCCAGCGACTGATATATTTATCACTATAATTTTTTTGGTAGGGGACCCTTTCTCCAACAGGTGTCCCCTTGTCAGCCCTGCGCCCCCCCCCCCGCCCCCTACCAGGGCTTTGGCTGCACTCCTGCCTCAAGTTTACATCTTGATCAAGGTATCAATTGGTATATTTTTCGATGGCCGCTATGCTTAGATCTGCTCAATATGTAACTCAAGGTTCAAAATAAAATCAACTTCAGTTTTTAAGCCTGACAAACTGAAAATAATCATCAGCCTGCACTTTTTCAATGGGCTGCTCATGGACACCTTGTCGTGACCTAAAATATATATATATATATCTATTATCTATATATATATATATATAATATAGATATACAGATATAGGTTACATGCAGTTAGCAGTATACTATATGTATCATATATAACTCTCTGTATCTATCTCTCCTAATCTCTACTCATCCTTCCTCTCTCTCTTCTCTCTCTACTCTCTCTCTCTCTCGTCCTCTCTCTCTCCTCTCTCTCTCTCTCCTCTCTCTCTCCTCTCTCTCTCTCTCTCTCTCTCTCTCGCTCTCTCTCTTCTCTCTCCTCTCTCTCTCGTCTCTCTCTCTCTCTCTCTCTCTCTCTCTCTCTCTCTCTCTCCTTCTCTCTCGTCTCTCTCTCCGTCTCTCTCTCTCTCTCTCTCCTCTATCTCTCTCCTCTCTCTCTCTCTCTCTCTCTCTCTCTCTCTCTCCTCTCTCTCTCTCTCTCTCTCTCTCTCTCTCTCTCTCTCTCTCTCTCTCTCTCTCTCTCTCTCTCTCTCTCTCTCTCTTCTCTCTTCTCTCCTCTCTCTACTCTCTCTCTACTCTCCTCTCTCTCTCTCTCTCTCTCTCTCTCTCTCTCTCTCTCTCTCTCTCTCTCTCTCTCTCTCTCTCTCTCTCTCTCTCTCTCTCTCTCTCTCTCTCTCTCTCTCTCTCTCTCTCTCTCTCTCTCTCTCTCTCTCTCTCTCTCTCTCTCTCTCTCTCTCTCTCTCTCTCTCTCTCTCTTATTATTATTGTATCTTATATTCGTATCTTAATATCTTCTTAATCTTGGTAAAACAATTATATCATATCTCAATATTCGTAAGAGTGATGCATGAGGTCATTAGACTCTAATTCACAGTCATTGCCCCCACCTTTTCAACCGTGTTGTCTGCCCCAGCCAGGTCTGCTTGCCGACCCAGATATGGTCACCCCAATGCGCCATTAAAATGCGTTTGCGTGTTCACACCCCCAATCTATTTATCCTTTTGTGCAGATGTAGCAATCACGTGGCCCCCGCATCGGTCGGTTGGGGGGGGGGGGGTCGTATTTGCAGGGGCGATGCCTAGATCCCGCTAGCCTGTCTCGCCGTGGGCCGTCAGAACCAGTCTCCTGTCGATGTCGATGGCGCTCGAACGATGCAGTCGGTGGGCAACGTGCTGGAATGGCGCTCTCGCCGACGCGCCGCCAATGCACGTTGAACAACTTCCAATTTGCAGTTCAACGCACGCAAGAGGCCAAAATGTGCCGGACCAAGAGGCCAAAATGTGCCAAAATGTGCCCTGGTCATGACCGTTTTAGCTGCAGTCCGCACATTATGAAATGCACTTACGGACGTCTCGTTCCCATGCGACCACGGGACGCACCATGTGGCATGGCATACATGTTTACGTGAACAACAGCAGAGCTAATCGCTTCTGCACAAGGCTGTCACTTGCCAGAAACAGTTGTGGGAAGGGGCTTAGACCACAGCGCTTAGCATAAACTTATCACCATGAGAACATCATTCTGCTTGGTTTTCGGCCGTTGGCTTCTGCACCTTCTGAAACGTGAACAGGTTTGCGATTATAAAGCTATTCGCTTTTTCATAGCAAGAC